TGCATTTAGGAATGTTATGGAGGGTGTCACGTTCGTTCCATAGGCCTTTGAGCTTGGTGTAATAAGCTCCAACTGTCATATCGCCTTGCTTGCAATCGTGGATGGCTTCTTCGACATGGAAAATATGAACGTTGTTGGTACAAAAAAAAACGTTCCTTCAAGTCGAGCCCGATTTCATTTGCACTCTCTTTGTATATTATACTTGCTTCAATGTCTTCTGCAATTGAATTAAACAACCATGCCTTGACAAGGTTGTTGTAGCGCCTCCATTGTTGAAGTTCTGCGGTGGACGTCTCTGGTGGTTCTTTGACGGTGTCGTTGACAAAACCTTCTTTATTTTTTATGTTAAAGCCATCAACATGGCACGACTCTAGGAATTGTAGTTTTCTCCATTCAGCGGCTGCGTAACAAGCACGAGACCGGGTTGATCTGAGTAGTGAAGATAAAAGTGGTTGTTCGGATTATCAAATTTGCTAGATTCAAGCTTTGCTGAATTTTGCGTTTTGTCTGCCATGTGTTTTGGCTTAGAAATAAGATAGGTGGGGTTTTGGCATGGAAGAGGAGATGGTAAGACTCAGAATCGTGTTAGCTCTGATATCATGTTAAAACTCAAAATAATGTGGTGGAATACTTAATATTTCATTGATATGAACAAGGTTATAAATAACCCTTACAAGAATCTTGTAATAGAAAATATAATAAAAGGAAATGATATGAAAGGAAGACTATAACACCTGATATCTCCAATAATTAATTCATATTAATTATTAGAAGATATAGAAAATAACGTAAAATAGGAAAACAAATATCTCATTAATTCTAAGGAAATAGTTTATTTACAGGAATAAATTATTTCATATCATAACTCTAATTCTAAGGAAATAATTTATTTATAAGAATAAATTATTTTCTATCATAACTCCTAACATATCTATCTAATTTCTTATAATTATAAGATTTATTGAAGAGAATATTATGTTTAGGATGTGTGGATAAGATGAGTACAACTCAAGTACACCCTCCCGCACATATGGATTCGTCGGCACATAATATTTTTTCCCGCACTTGTGGCTCCCAATGAAGTAATAGACCTTTGAAGATATTCATCCTAAAAATAGAATGATGATTGCTTCATGGTGGTTCACATCAACAATTCATGGCATAATGTTAAAATCCAATAAACATCTTAATCTCACTTTCCTAATTAGCAATTACATCTGTTGAAGATTCTAATAAGATAAAATACCAATTTATGCTTAATTACTTATTGATTAAAGGGCTCCTAATCCATGTGATCATCACAAAAAAAAAAAAAATCTCCAACAGAAAGGGAAGGAAAAAAAAAAGCAGCCCTATTCTTGACGAATAATAAATTCATGATCATAAATTTTATTACAAATGCATAATTGAGCAATTAATTTTTATATGATATTTATTTTGAAACTGATCTAAAAATTTAAAAAAAAAACTCGTTTTAAGTAAAGTAATGAATTACCGTCTTAGTATTGTACTTAAACTCAACACACGCTTACACACTAAAGTAATTAAAGAGAAGTAGCATAGTTGAAATATTTCACTATGGCGGAGATGCCTTGTTTTTACGTATAAAACCCGAAAAGAAGAAAAAAACACGTGGTCTGGCATAGTTGAAATATTTCACTATGAGTTGGTGATTACAAGTATAGCTTCTTATCTCAAAGGCGGGAAAGTGTTACATAGTATTTCAAGTTACAACATTTGTTTGTAGAAGAACTCATTGTACCACGATAAGAAGAGGTCGCAGTGGGGAGTAATTGCTAAAACTTAAGTACACCATCTTTGGGGTCAGCATGATGTTCGGGAAAATGCACTGCCTCGTAAGTTTTTTTTGTGATATGCGGTGTTGATTGTTGTTTCACACGGTGCTTCGTTGCTTTGCAACATAGGTCTCAATTCCGCACAGAGCTTCACTATATCGAGTATAGGGCAGCCAATAGCGGTTGGCAACTACAAGAGAAGGAAGGATTCGTCAGATCGCTGGTGTAGAATACTGGACTTCAAGGTTCTGGTTTTTCTCTGGCTTAGGGTGCAATCTTCTAAAAATGTTTAGAACTGTATTTATAGAGTCTTGATTACAAACAACAATGGGCTTTGGGCCACTCTGATCGAATAGCTTGTGGAGTTTCTCTCGATCGGTTGGTGTTTTGTGGACATTTATGTGTCTTAATAATGCCAGAATTGAGTGATCTTCGGCCCTTTGGATTCGTCTTATTTATAGAGTCTTGATTACAAACAACGATGGGCTTTGGACCACTCTGATCGAATAGCTTGTGGAGTTTCCCTCGATCGGTTGGTGTTTTGTGGACATTTATGTGTCTTAATAATGCCAGAATTGAGTGATCTTCGGCCCTTTGGATTCGTCTTGTTAAGACACTCTATATTACCATAAACTTGTCAGATTAGAAATTCATTTGACCTTTCAATTATCCACTGAAAGTTTTCAAAAGCACGGCCCTTTGGATTCGTCTTGTTAAGACACTCTATATGACCATAAGCTTGTCAGATTAGAAATTCATTCGACCTTTCAATTATCCACTGAAAGTTTTCAAAAGCAGTTTAATAGCTTGATTTGGCTCGGATTGAACCAATTTCAGTATTGTAGGGTATGTCTCGTAGAGTGTCAGTTTGATTATAAGTGTTGAAATGAGAGTAATGAATGACTTTTAATCGAAGTTTGAACATTTATTACTCAAAAAATTACCTCGAGGTTTGTGTCATATCTCGTGATTCATATCCAAAAAATTATCACGGGATTCATGTCATGTCTGATGTTTCATGTTGGATGTTGGAAATATATTCCCGACATATCACTTTTAAATATTTAAATTATTTTTTTACACTTGTATTTATTTATTTTAATCATAATGATTATAACTAAAAAAATTAGTTTTTACAGAGCAAAACATAATTACACTACTGAATTTCCCCAACATATTTGTCAAGAGATTATTAAATCTCCAAATTATAAAACTACCCCTACCCCTTTCATGATGATTTTTTGAACTATTAAAACCTTACATCAATTCTAATATTGGAATGAAAAACAATATATACTTTGAATTCGAATAGATTCGACTCTCAAAGTGTTAAATAAAACTTAGATGTCATTTATTTATCCAAGAAATAAATGCTGACAAATGAGAACAAGACATTTGGTTAGAAACAAAAGGAATTCACTCCATACCTATAATTTGAGTTTCGGAAATCCTCATGTATGATTTGAAGAAAAATAAATGTTATCTAAATTTATAATGCACTTGAAATTCATTCTCTAGTTTAAAATCAATGTATTTGGAACTCATTATATTTGGGTGAATTTAAATACACTAATTTGTGTAAAAGTACTCACAATCGTAATCCACTGTTTCATCCTGCTACCGACACAATAGTCATCATCAGTAACCAACCACCATCATACAGATTACTACCGCTGACCACACATGAACGTCTGTTGCAACCAATCTTGTCTGCTTCCGACACAACAATCATCATCAGTAACCAGCTACCATCATAGTCGTTACTACCAGCGAACACACATAACGGTTGCTCCCACTCTTTAAAATGGTCGCCGCTATTGCTATTGAGGAGCCTATTTTACATTGATTTCATTTTTCTTCAAATCTAACCAAATAAAAATCTAAAACCAAACACCTCCAAAATATTCAAAATGCAAAGCATTACTTTTATATTGTATTCTCTTTTAGCAAATCAAACAACCTCTACAAGAACTATCAACGCACAAAAATTTAAAAATATATATATTATTAATAAACTTATTAGCTAGCCCTCTTCTTTTGGATTAAATTGGACTTCTTGAATTTCTTTATTTTATTTTAATCAATATGTTTGATAAGCTATGAACAAATTTCCAACATCCGACATGAATCACAATGCATGACACAGATCTCGATGCACTTTTATGAGTAAGTGACGTGCAAACTTTGATAAAAAGTCATTTAGAAGTCTAATTTCCACAAACTTACCGCCAAACTAAACAACACAACAAGGCAGACCCAATGATATCAAATTTGGTTCAATTCAAGTAAAATCAAGCTCAATCAAGACATTAAACTGTTTTTAGAAAATTTTCGGACACATTTGACTGGGCAAACTAATGTCAAAGCTGATGAGTTTTAGTCCAATCAAGCGTCCCAACAACGCAAACCAAAGAGCAAAATATCACTCAATTTTGAAATCATTAAGACACTCGAATGTTCATCAAATATAACCCATTCGACATTGTAACTCGGGAAACTTTATAACATATTTCCGCCTTTGGGACAAGGGGTAGTTTTTGTAATTTTCAATTTATAACAAATCTTTTTAATTGAGTCAGAGGTTTTTTTTTTTTTACTGATTTTCTATGTAAAAATTTTAGTGTCACTACTAAATGTTTTCCGTCTTCTCAGTGTTTGTTGGATTGTCATACAATACTAAGATGATAATTCAATACTCTATCGCCGTGAATCGTCTGACACACATCAATATTACAAATTTAATCAATAATAATATGGCTATATATATTTATGTAAGAGCATGCAAATTTTACTTTCATTTTTTAGCTAGTTATTTATTTATTTTTTAGTAGAAATATTTTTAAGATAATAGTCGGTCCGATAACTATGAAATAAAAGTTCAGGAAGTTAAAGACAAGCATATATATTCTTATATGTTTACATATTAAACCCTCAAAATTTGATATTTATGCATACCAAACATTCATGCCATAAGCCTACTAATATCATTTTCACTTCTAAAAAAACATTTATTCTGATATTTTTTATATGATGCCGAAGATTTTAGTGGTATGCAAAATACGAGTGTGTATGTGTTAGATATGTAAATACATAAAAATTGTGGAATGTATGTAAGTGACCCTTAAGATATATTACTCAGATTCATATGGCTAAACTAAAATCAGCTGAAAAGTAGACTTTAGCACTTCTCATGACTCCGATTAGTGATCCAACAACTATCATATAAAGGAAAACAATACAATGCATCATCACACATAACATCCAACCAGCAAAAAAATTACCATTAACATATTACATAACATCACAATCTTTATTTCTCACCCGTTGTTCAAAAGCATCATCATGGCCTCCACAAGAGCTCCCAAAAATGTCGAAATACGGATGATATTCGTCTCTCAGATTCTGCGGTACTTCGAAGGGTACTTCGAAGCGTTGATATTTTCTGCAACTTGTTTACGTTTCATATCAAAACTCCGAGACGAATCAAATGATGAAGAGATAGAGGAAACAAAATTGGCTCTTTTAAATCTCCCCATGTTCCAACAAGAGAATTGTTCTTCGGCTTCCCTTTTGCCAATTTGTATACCAGGTTGTTGTGGCATTACAGTATCGAGCATGTTATGAATGTCCTGTAGGGAGGCAGCATACTAAACAATAACAGAAAATCAGATAAAATGAATAAAATAAAATAAAATTTTTCAATCAAATTTGTTATAAAAACATTCATAATGATCATATAAGCATTCTAATTTGGCAAAAAAATAAAATAGATGCTCAATCGTTGCAGCAAGAATAGAAAAGGACTAGCAACAGCTTTTGGTTTTGTTCAATGAAGAAAAACTAAAGTTGAAAAGCATGCACGTAAATAAAGTGAACGAAAGAGTTAAAAATAAAAAGCATTTTAGGCACACCCGAACCAATGTTGGTAAAACCGTGCTTCGCATGCAAAGTGAAGCAAAGCACTTCTGAAGACAGTTGGTCTATTCATGGTTTAAAGAGAGTAAATAAAAGCTTTTATCTAGAGTTTGAAAGAGCACAAGGAGCGGATATTTATATTCAGGAGTTCAACGAGCACAAGGAAGCCGAGCACGCTTCGAATGCTACGGTCTTCCTTTGAATTAGGCCTGGACTTCAATTTAGCCGAGCATGCCTCTAAATTCCTATGTTCATATCGAACAACTAAAATTCAATTTTTACATATATTAAAGTGTTAGAAATGTAAATACATAGGAATTGGGCAATATGTTTGTAAATACCCTTTTTTTTTAAGGTAATGAGGGTAAACCTAAAAAACTAGGTTTTAGAACAAATTTGAATTAATACCAATAGTTTTTGCTTTAAATTTTTAATTTTCAAAAGATATAAACTTTTTTTTTAATGTTTGCCTTCAAGTTAAGTATCGTATCACATTCTTTTCTATTTTATATCAACATTTATCCTACCTTATGTTTTATAATTGTACATGAATGTATTTATACATTAAAAGTTTTATATAACATTTTAGCGCTTTGATTAATAGTGTTGTTTCACTCTGCGCCTTGCACTTTGAAGTAAAACAAAACATTATGCATTGCATTGTGTTCAACAATTTGATAACACGGATCGAAACCTTCCAAAAAAAAGTAAAAACAAAATTGATCAAACTTGAAACAATATAATAATTAAATCCAAAATCAATTAGGATCATCTATAATGATGATTTACATTTTATATCGTAGAAAGATTAGAAAAACATGTTCCTTGACGTCTTAACAACTAAATTTCTAAAAAAAAAGTTAAAACAAAATTGATCAAACTTGAAACGATATAATGATTAAATCCAAAATCAATTAGATCATCTATAATCATGATTTACATTTTATATCTAGAAAGATTAGAAAAACATGTTCATTGACGTCTTAACAACTAAATTTCTCAAAAATAGATTAATGACGGTGATTTGTGACATTATTGAGAACAAAGATGTTACCATTTAACTTGAATTTAAACACATGATTATCCTAGATAAAATTTCAGTTTTTTATAGAACTGAACTTAAAAAAGTTAAAAAGTTTATCCTTGTTGCACTTGCACATACAGAGCTTCTATTTAAACCAAGAAAATTAATCGGAACTTTGAAAGAATGCAGACCATATTATAGTTTTCAGTAATCCAGAAGAAGAATTCAGTTGTCGGTTTGAAGTCATCTACAGAGAAAAACATTAGTTTTACCTTTGATCGATTAACAGATAAATAGAAAACCTCCATAAAAATTCTTAAAATCTTTTTAAATCCATTCTGGCCTCTTATTGTGGGCTTTTGTGAGGTTAAGTAGGGATAGTGAGATCTAAAAGCTCTAACAAAACATATCTTGCTGTTCGGAGGGGTAGGGGACTAGAAATTGTTGTGGTTAAAGAAGTCTCGTTGAAATACGAAAAATGGAAAAAATGAAGAACGAGAAGAAACATAATCGATAGCTATCAACAAATCTAAGCCAGTGATTCTATATGATGGGTTAAGTTAAGCAGATATAAAATCATAGTGTGCACGAACCCTCATAAAGTACACATCATGACTTTATTTCCAAATTAAAACTAAATTTGACCTACTCCTAATCGCTATAATAAGTTGAGCCATTTATTAAGGGGTTTGTGTGTGTGCGCGCACACACATACACATTACTCTAGCTGAACCCAAAATTCGAGCATTTAAGTTTAAGCAAAGACGCATAAACTAAGCAAAACATCACCTCTATAAAGCGGAAGACATCCAAAGCCATACATTATTCAACATCTCTCCCTTTGCAAATGGACAGCATACACCTCCCTAGCTCTCAATGTCTCTTTATGGTCAAGTAACTAATGATCAAGCGTCAGTGATTGTATTTTTCATTGCTCATACTATCATTAATGACAATCTCATATTTCAAGCACCCATCCACATAATCCATACACACGTACATCCACAAGTTCTCTTCTCTCACAAAAGCTAAACATTTGGGCTAAAGATTCCCCCACATTTTCCCTCCTATCACTTCTATCTATTAGATCCATCGCCACTCAACACAGTTGAAGCAACATAAGTAGCCGTCCCACAAGTTGAAATCACATTTCAAGTTATGACAGTCATATAGTCACCCTCATACCTTAATTGAATTACCACCCTACCTTAATTGAATCACCCTAATATGACGCCGCGGCGCCATGTTATCAGATTTGAACACAAATTTTTCTCCAGGAGTAGCACTGCAATGATACAAATACATCACCTCAGCGCTGCTACAGTAGGGTTGCGGCACTGATATTGTAGCACTATGGGTACATCTCCGAGACAAAATGTACAAGTAAAAAAAAAAAATCAACGCTCATCAAGTTTGATCGGTGAAATTGAGAACTCTAAGTTGAAAATGGATCTACACAATCAGGCTTCGCTAAATAACAAAAGAAAGATGGAAAAAGGTTAAACGCAAGGATAGTGGTAGCTCCCATCACGTGTTTATTGAAAACCAACTAATTTCCACTTTCTAAGATTTTTATCGTTTCAAAAGCTTTTCCTATATTACAATTGACACTTACATCCAACATGTCAAGTCACAAGTCTTAAATTGAACGGACTCAAAATTGGATTGCACTTTATGCTAGTGTATGTGGTGTGTGCATGTACATAGATGTAAATAGATATATGCATATGTATGTATACAAATGTATATGTATATATGCATACATACATTGACGTATATCTATATTCATCTACATAAACATACATACTTGTGATAAGTACATATCAGTATAGACTGTTTATGTAGGATGGATCAGAAAAAACTTCAAAGAGTATATGTAAATTTGAAATTAAATGATTTTTTTATATGGTTTGAGCTTGAATTGAAATTGATGAATCAAGTCTAACTCAAATCAAGATTTCATTAAGCCCACCTATAATCAAGATTTAATCCAGCCAGCCTACAATCAGGCCCAGCATTGTTAGAGAAGTGACAATTCAAAGAGCAAATCCAATATCAAAGCATCCTCACCTTAAATGATCTAGTCACAGAACCACCATCAGATACATCACGATAGGCAGAACCTACAAAATCAAATTAAAAATAAAAAATAAATAAAAAGATAAAAAACATCAATTTCAGAACACCATCTAAAAGGTAAAATTTTAGTGCATCCTACATATACAAGTAACAAACTAACCTCTTCTCCTAGCTGCGTCTAGACCAGAACTCCCACTCGCAAGAAGAGAACCAAAAGCCGGCGATTTCAGCCTGCTTCGGACCTTCCAAGGGCCAAAACAACTCTGCAACCTGGATGAAGAAAGGGAATCAACACCTGCTACTCCATTCTCAGAAACCCTAGCACTACCCCTAGTTAAACGGGATTTGAACGGAACAGCAAACGGCGAGATCTGACCACCAATCGCCTCATTCTCCATCTTCATCTCCAAAAATCGAATCCTTTCCCCTTCCCCTTCCTCTCCTCTCACAAACACTCCTTTTCCATTACCCTTTCCGGCACCCTTCCCCGTTTCCCTCACTTTAAACGGCCCGAAACTTGAAACCAGCCGAACATCTCCATCCCCATGCGATATCTTCGGCGGAGGCAGCGGCGGCAGCGGTGGCTTTATTGGGCAAAACCCTAGGTATGGGCGGATGATGGAAAAGTTGGAGTTTTGGGAGGAAGAAGAGCAAGTACGGGACTCGTCGGTGAAGATGGTGAGCTTTCGGGGAAAGAGGCCGCCGTAGGAGGTGGTGGCGGGGGAGTGGATGCTTGCATCGGTGGCGGTGTGGAGAAGGCGGCTGATCCAGGAGGAGTGGAGGCCAGCGGATTGAGTTTCAGGGTGGAGTACCAAACATTCGGCGGAGATTTTGGCGTCATAGATTGGTTGGAAGGAGGAAGGGCCGGCGTGGAAGCTGCTGCTGAAGTTCTTGCTTCCGACAGAGGATTTCAGCGACCGCATCGGATGGGCGGCCATTGGAGTGAGCTTCACGGCAGATCTCGCCTTAACTTTACTTCTCTCCTATAAAAAAAAAAGGTATTTTTAGATACATAGCATTTCAAACAGGCTCTTTTTGTTTTTTTCCCCTTTTCTTCCTTTTTTTTTTTCATTTTATTTTAACAATCTTATTTATGTGCCTTGCCCTTACGTTGAAAATTAAATCGCATAAACTTAAAAATTTCAAAAAATAACACTTTGTGTTTCTACCTTCAGATTTAAACCGCTTTCCTCCTCCTACTCCGCAGGTCTCATCTGAGCGAGCTTTCTTTCCTAGAAGCTTGTTTAGAAACAACGTTAGAAAATGCTTCCTCATAAAATTAGGGTGGGTAAAGTGATATTTTCATTTGAATAAAATATTTATTGAGTGTTTTTCAAAGCAATTAATTATAACCTTTAAAGATAAAAAGACTGTAATAACCCTTGTCTTCTCCAACAACGTCGAACCTGCCTTTGAGTCATTTGAACTTTTAGCAACCATCATGTTGAAATGGTCTAATACAGGACTCCGATGGGGTTACTGGACTTCAGGAGGAAGAGCAAAGAAGGAGGGGATACCGCATAACTCGTGGGTGATGGTCTTGTTGAGCTCTGAAAGATCTTCTTTGATGCCTCTTGGAGATGACGACTCATCATCGATGTGGACTAGGTCTTCGGACTTGTGGTTGTTGCCCCGGTCATCGTCACCTCGAAGGCAGTTCACCAAAGAGCGAGCAAATACTCTGCAGCCATTGGATTTGGCAAAGCCTAATGCCTTACGAAATGCCTTGATGATGTCACCATCAGAGGAGACTGAGAAAGGGAGGGGGGATCGATAACATGGGGACTGGTGTGAGACATGTACGCATGGATGATGAAGACGTGGAGGACGATGCAGAGAATACATGTGAAAAACAACGTTGCAGTGGGAGCATTTCTGGAGAAGATGATCCGCCAAATGAACAGCGGGTGTTCTTTTAACTTTCTCTGCGACTCAATGGAGGTTAGCTTCCCTTTCAAACAAGGGTTAAGTCTTCAAACTCGACCCCTTTGGATCTTCACAATTAAACTTCAATACATAAGTGTATAAAGATTGAATGAGGGCTTAGCAAAGAGAATCACCTCAAAGTAGTAATTCACCGCCACTAATTCGACTCTATTGCTTTTTTTTAAATTCTAATAAGTCTACCAAGAGAAATTCAGATTGAAATCTTATTCCCATCTTCTCATTCCTCTTCTTTGACCTAAAAAACAAATGTAAATTCATGTTTACATTTTGTTGGGAGAGCTCTGTGATCAATAAAAAAGTCATATTTGTTCTCTGATCAGATCTGACGAGTTTGATCTTTCATTTTTTTTTTCCATTCTTTACTTGATTCGTGAACATTGTGCCTTTGAATTTGTTTGTTTATTTCATTTAGATTTGTTTAACTATTACTTTCAACTTCACACTTTTGATTTCTATCAAATTATTTTATCATTAAGTGAAAGTAAGGCGGTGAGAAGAATTCATGGTGGTAGAGTTTTTAATTAACGTCTTAGTGTTGCACGATAACCCATCACACACTCGGATAATCAAAGATAAGTAAGCAGAATGAGGCACCTTTACTTTTTACATGGAAACCCCATGAAAAGAAGAAATACCACGAGGCCTAGTCCAATTGAAATAATACACTAGGATTAGTGAATACACAAATCCATTTTTCTCCTTAATTATGGAAGATGAAATTAAAAATTTTTATATTCATAATCTGGTTGTAGTTCTTGACAACATTAGGCTAAAAGAGTCATAGTCGATTGTCACGAAGGTTGTAGTCTGATGTCAGTGTTGTAGACGGTGTTTGTAGCACCAACTTATCTTAGAATTTGTAGTTGATAACCATGTCAACAGTTGTTCGAGTGGGCCGTAGATGGTGTTTGTATCACTAACTTATCTTATAACTCTTGTCTCAATGACTATCTTGCAGTCCTTAAACATTAAACCAACCGACAACAAATTCCTTCTGATATTTGGAACATGTTTAACATCAATTAGCCCCCTCATAGTACCATCATGTATCATGTTATAGATACTTCTTATATCAACAGTACAACAAGCTTATCACTGCACCGCTAAGTTTTTATACATACAAAACCACCATCAATGAGGACAAATGTGATAAATAACACTTGTATTCAGAATCTAACATGAATCATCTATAAATAAACTATGGGAAACTGCATATAATGATACATCTGATTTCACATATTTTCATAATAATATAGGCTTTTACCTTAGATGCAACTTCCTTTTCCTTATACTGTAGCTTCGAACAATCTTTCATTCAATAAACTGTCCCCGAAACAAAAGGCACATTAAATTTTCTCAAAATTACGCCCACAATACTTGCCTCACTTTTGAGAAGTGTCGTCGCTATTACCTTTCTTTGTTGAATTCTTATTCTTCTTCTTAGATATTTCACATTGGAGTGTAAGTAAATCGTCTAACTCTATGTTTATACATTCATTGTTCCATTGATGGAACTCGTGATTTAATAGTGTCATAGTCACTTCGCCATAATTCCAGAGCTCTTTCATAGTTAAGTTTTTGTACTCATATGGGAGCGAATTTAACAAAAGGAGTGTCTTGTATTCATCTTGAATCTCCTCATTCAAATTTAAGAGATCTGCTAATAGCTTTGTGAAGTCATTCAAGTACTTACAATAACAACCCTACGACTCATTTGAAATCTGTAAATTTGACGCTTCATGTAGAGACTATTTTTCACGCTCTTTGTGAGACATCTGTTTTACAACATCCTTCATAATTTTTCAGTATAAGTCCCCATCATCACCCTATATTTGATTCTCATGACAAACAATTTGGATCAAACCACAAACACTCTAGTTCATATTCAATAAATCTCTCTTTGACATTTTTTCAGTACATTCATCATTATCTAAGACTTCATCCAGAATCAAATAACATAGTGCATCCATGACTTTGTATCGCCACGTGTCAAAATTTTTTTATCAACGAATTTCGTCACATCAATTTTGACATGATACGTAACCACCCGATGAATCGACTTTCCACCGTCATAATAGAGGTTGAATAACCTGACATCATGTTATCATTTATTACTACTATTATTGGAATCTCTATCCAAAAATAAAATAAAAATATTCCTCTAACGTAAATTAATTTTTATAATATTTTTTACTCTTAATTTGAAAACATGAAAGATAGAAAAAAAACAAACAAAAACGGTTCACTTGAAGAAATTTTGTTCCTTCATTTTTTTTTCTAAAAAAAATATTGTAATTTTTCTTTTTTTCATTTCTGTTTTTTTCCTGAAATTTTACTGTCAATAAGCTTTCACTTTTATTTCTTTTCGAAAGTTTCTTGTCATAAGCTTTTAAAACTATAATTTCCTCAAAAAAATGAAAAAGGATTTTCCTTTTTTTTCTCTGACCCATGCGAAACTCTGCTCTATGCGAAACCTTGCTTGCATACAACTTCCGTCGTAGCCACGTTCTTTTGCCGCTGAACTGCACCTCCTTCCACCAAAGCCGTCGTCGGACTTCCACTAGAACCACTGCTGGAACACGGCCTACCGGACTTCCTCCTCAAGCTGAGCCTCTACCTGCTCGCGGGATTTCACATCTAATGGTGTGTTTGGTGCAACTTGTGATAAACTGCTTGTTCTGAAACGCGGCCCGCGGGGTTTGACCCGCGACATGCGTTTAGTGTAAAAACCTAACAACATTTTTAGATAAGTCGTTGAAACGTGTTTTCCAAACTGTGAGACAGTGTTTTCGCACTTATAAGCTACCCCAAAAGGGTCCTAAGCCGCTGGCTTGCCGCTAGTCTGTCGTCGAATTTTCAAATCTGCCAAAGTACGTCCGAGCCCCTACTGCAAAAAACTTTGGCAACACTCACCAATTTTGCTTCTACGGCACTTATAAGCTACCTCAAAAGGGTCCTAAGTCGTTGGCTTGCCGTTAGTCTGTCGTCGAATTTTCGAATCTGCCAAAGTACGTATGAGCCCCTACTGCAGAAAACTTTGGCAACACTCACCAATTTTGCTTCTAC